GAGGGAGTACGGAAAGTGCACTGCCACATCAATAGGCCGCTGGATGCATCAACACTTCAATGAGTGCGACGAGGATATGTCCAGCTTCAGCTCCTGCCGCCACACAATGAGCAGCACTTCGTCTTGTGGTACTCTCTCACTCACTGCCGCCGCCCTGCCACTGCCACAGCCACTGCCACTGCCACCACAATTATTTCCATTTGATTGTGCAAAGAAGAGTGCGTGGAGGAGCGCAGCGTTCTTTCTTCCTTATGGCCTCATTGTTTGGGGGTGAACTCTGGTCCAGCGTTTATGTGTGGTCATTGCTTGACTGTGTTTATGGCTCTATATGCTTGAGTGCATACGGATATGGCATGGATGATGCTGATGGTTGCTACTGAAGAAGCTTTCCTTTAGTGCTCAGGGACCAAGGCAGATATTTCCATATTCTGATGACTTAAACTTAATTGAAGGTGGAATCAAGTAGTCTCGTTAGGGAAATTGGAAAGTGGCTTAGAAATTGTATGATTTAATGTCTGGATAGTCTATTTGCAAAGAGATAATATATCCACCATTTACAGCATAATTTTGAATTCATAATTAAACTAAAACCAGCAAAATCAAACAAAATGGGAAAGAGAAGAAACTGTGCCTTGTTAGCACTGGTTTTAAAGATATTAAAACAAGTTCTAGAAGTATTTTAAAGCCAGAATCGAAATACTTGCCATTTACATTAGTCAAAAATCCACCATTCCAATAAGTGGCGCTTCCTATGAAAAAATCGAATGAAAATGGTTTTTCTCTTGTTCCTATTCCGCTGTTTCTAGAATAATCGTTGCTGGTTCGTTCTTTTTCAAAGTGCACTCAACAAATTCTTAAAATTATATAGCTATGAGATTTTTTTGAAAGATGTGAAACACCTCTTCACATTGGCACCATCCATGAAAAAACAGCTGATGAGCTGTTTAATTTGAATATTTAAAATTTATACTAAGAATTGATCAATGGTTGTGAATGTTAATAAGCAGCAGAATATTTCCTGCATATGCTAATCATGTTGCTGGATATGAAGAGCAATTAAGGTGAATATAGAATAAAATTAGTTTTTCATTTCTACATTTTTTGTATTGTTATATTTTGATTCCTAATAAAAATTGTAATTCAAGTGTTCCCCCATATTTTGTCAATAAATATTTTAAACCCCAATTTGACGGTGCATAATAGCTCCCTTTTTTTTATCAAAATTCCGCCAATACTTTTACCTGAGAGAGTGAATGTGTCTGTGTGTGTTTTTGCATTTCTGCCCAATTAAACACGCTCTCAAGAGTCGCATGGAATCCAATTAAATGCAATTGTCGCTAGTTCAAGAGAGGCAAAACTATGATAATAACCTTACTGCAAACTAGAATGGGCATACTTAGCCATAAGTTACACGTTACAAGTTACCAGGTACCCGTACCCATTAACCCCTTGGCCGCTTTATCGCCTAACCCAAGAGCTGCAAAGACAAAATTGCACCCGCATTCGGGGGTCGGAGGGTGGTCCTGTCCTGCCATTGGCGAAATTAAGTAAAATAGTTTCGTGGCTGGCTTACTGCTTGGATGGTTTCGGGCTAACCTTTGAACGTGCTTCCACCTGGTGCTTAGTCACCTTTAAACCCTTATGTGGCATTCTGCAAATGACATTGCTGGCTGTTGGCTTGTTCAGGAATTTTTACGCAGAAGTTTAGCCATTTAACGGTCACCTTTGATCAATAAGAAATTATTTGGCTTATAATACAATTAGCCCAAGCTCCTTTCTAAACTAAATTTGTTTATATGGTCACACTGGCTGTTTCTTTTACATTTTACTTCATTGGTTTTTCGTTGCCTTAAGATCTTTTGCACTGTTTTCGGTGTTGCTGACAAATATAAAATGTAGAAAATTCATTTTTGAATCAGGAATATATTAAATTAAAAAAAGAAAATAAATAATATAAATACTTAAAAAAATTAAATTTAGATCACTTAAACTTCTTCCTCGTAATAATTTGGGATAAATTATATTCATATATTTATAAATTTCATCAATTTCCCTCATTTTAGAATACTTCTTTTAAGCATTGCAGCCAGATGTATGTTATTTTTTGTTTTTGTTTTAGATCCTTTCTTAAACCACTTCACTCAAATTGTATTTTTATTGCATTCATATAATTATAATTAATTTTGATCCAAGAACCAGTCTTTAAATTACATAAAACAAATCAAAAGCAATTTCATGAGTACCCATAATGTGGTTTAATGAACATATCCACTCAAACCGGAAGTGTGCTTTGGCGTACAAACAAAAGTGATTTCACATCACTTGTCCGAATAGAGTTGAGTTCAAAGTGAAGCTTTTTAATTTGCGAATAATTTGTATTGAAAAATGGCCGGCTGTAACAATATTCTTGATTTACCTGTGGAGGCAATTAGCTTGATATTTAGTTACGTTGAGGAATTGAATGATCGCCTACGATTGGCCCAAGCTCATCCTAAACTGGCGAAGGGATTTTCCCATTATGCCGCCAATGCGCACTGCAATGTCGACTGTGACGAACTCCCTATTTCGTACTGGTCAAAAATACTTTACGATGCGGGTGCATCTGTGGTCAGCATTTCGCTGCGCAAAAAATGCCATGTTGTGGCTCTACTAAAGCTGGCCGCCGATCATTGCCCCAATTTGGAGGAGTTAAATATTCAAATACAATGCGAGTATTGGGGCGTAATTGCGCCGTTGCTCTCGTCACTGAAAACATTGAGCAGGATCTCGCTGCAAAATAATTTTGTTGGGGTTGACTTCATCGATACTCTGCATGAATTACCACTGCTGAGGAGTTTGCTTTTATTTGGGTTCCCCAATAAAAACTGTAAGTGAGTGCAGATTATACTTTCAGTTTGACAATACCTTTGATAATTTTCCAGTGAGGCGAATCCATGAGTTGTATTGGTTAACAACATTGCGCATAATCAATAGGAAGGCGATCGATGTATGCCTTTGGTTTGCCCCATTGAAAAACCTAATAAACATGGAAATATTGATCGCCTATGTAGGCTGCCCGGACATTCCACATTGCAAAAATCTGTGGCCAAAAATGGAGCTCCTCAACATTACTTATGCCACATTTCCATCCGAAAAATGCCAGAACAGGAGGGGTCTGCCATATCTGCCGAGTCTAAAGCAGTTAAACATTGAGGAGACCATACCATTAATGAAACTTTCCCAGGTGTTTGGCAGCTCCGTGTCAAAGTATGCAAATACTTTGTGTCGCATTCGTTTTCTCTACGAGGGTCAAGCGCTTGATGCTGATGATGCCAACACCATTTCCAAATTGAAGGCACTGACACATGCTTGCTTGCCGGGCGTCAGTAATAAATTCATTGGGCTCATTAAGTCAGATAGCCTGCAGGAGCTGTTCGTGCGTCACTCGGACAATTTAACCAACTCGGGAATTCTGCGTGTGCTGAGTGGATGTAAAAATTTGCGTGTCATTGATTTCTATGGCTGTAAATTCATTAATAAGAAAATGGTTGAGCCGGCGCTCATGATTCTAAAGAAGAATGGCGTTGAGGCCGATAAGCCTGTGGAAATGCGTGTAAATTACGAATTTGGAACTCATGTAAGTTGGGAGATCGGATCGCCGTTTGGAATTCATTTAAAAATATCAAAATCAAACTCTAATTGTAGATTTCGTTTTACGATCCGACATTGTTGGTCATCAGACAATCGACAGCCGATGGGCACCTTATCTGAGGCAACTGGAACCGAAGAAGCTATAGAAGAATTTCTGATGTTTGTTTTTGTTCAGATTTCTGCAGCATAGACAAATAAAATCTGATCTTACTGAAAATTCAGTCAAAAAATTACAGCTATTTTGTGTCTCACACATTGTTATTTTAATAAGATGTGAAAGACTAATCGTTTTCAGCAAACGTTAAAAATAAACCCCAATCTGTTGTATAACATTAACCAAACAAAGTCTCAGCTGTCAATTGGCTTTTTGAACCTTTTCGCACCTCGTTTTGAGGTTCCTTTGGGGCCTGCTGAAGATTTCTGGTACATTGGCACCCAATTACGTGTAGACAGGCCCAGACCAGGCTAAAATCGAGTGTGCCTTGGATACTTGTGGTCGTTTACATCTCATTATCTGCAGCTCTTCGCCTTTCACCTACTGACCAGAAGCCCGTCCTGACAATTGCCAATCACAGCAGCCAAAAATAAAATATGTACAACCCAAAAAGACTGAAACTTCACTTCACTCCACTCCATTCGAGCCACAGAAAAATCCACAAGAATTACCATTTTGACCGCAGACAAATTAGTGTTATTAACACTTTTTTTGTGTTATTTCTCTCTGTTCTCTTTTTTTTCTCTTGTGTTTATGGTTTTTGCTGTTGGCTGTTAATGCGCTGCTTTTTGGACGATGGCAGAAACATTTTTCACGCTTTTGGCCACGCGCAGAGAGCCTGGCCCTCTCTTGTAGCTCCTCCTCGGTGCCTGCAACTGGAAATCGGCAACCAACCAGCAGACACAACTCCCAGACCTCGATCCAGAGCCAGACCTGACCGCAGGTTTTAATATTGCAAAATGCTGAGGCTCCTCTCCTCTGGCGCTGTTTATTTGATTTGGATTGGGTACGGGTGCGGGTTTGGCATTTTGGAGCTGAGCTCCTGTGAAAACAAACAACAATAATACCCACATAATGTCTGTGGGGTGTACCCCTCATCCACAATGCTCATGTCGTCGGGTTCATACGAACAAAAAAAAAATATCCATTAAAAATGCATTGCGATTTTTATATAATTTTTTTTTTTGGCATTGTGGCAAGGTGTTGACTGGGTTTCACTTTTGAACTTACCCCAAGAGGGTTGCCTGAAAAGTGCCTGAAACAAACCAGATTCAGTATTCTTACTGTTTATTTTTATTTGCCTTTTTATTGAACTGATTTAATGTACAAAGTTCGGAATTTAGGACTGTGTTGAATTGAAGTAAACCTGATTAAAAACATCTGTATCGGCACGTAGTAATATGCATCCAATAATTGCACATTTAAATCGTTTTTTTCTGATATGCACCCATTCTATATCAACCTAAATCCTTTGCCATGAAGACTCAATAAATTCAGTTTCATAAGTTTCCACATTTCCAAATGATTGAATTGTTCCATCTGTAAAGAAAATCTTTTTAAAATATTGATAACATCAATTCCGATCAATAAACATACCATTATTCGAAAATCGTCCGTATTTCCTTGATTAAGTTCCCAAACAAAGCGCCTTTGCTCGTTGAAACCATTTTCCTTCAAAACGTTTATAAAGGAGTTTAGAGATTCCGAAAACACAGTTTTAGCTATGTTAAAATGTGTATGAATCAACTGCAACTTTTTGCATTTGCTGATAATTTCAAATAAATCTTTTGGAAGATAACTGATTGAGTTTAGATGTAAACGCTCCAGGGTATCGGCGTTTTTCGAAACAATTTGAACGATATTGAGAGTTTCTCTGCTCGCAAATTTTAACGATTTGAGCTTTGGACATGTTGGCATTACCGACAGACTAATTCTGCAATGCACTAACTCAAGTTCTTCCAATTCCGGTAATAAAAAATCAAGTTTCTGGCATAATGATACGCTATGGTATATAACCACCAAGCTGCGAAGTTTTTTTAAGTGTGAGGCTATTTCAAAAATATTTAATAAATATTTTTTCTCAGGCCAAATGAGGTACAGTTTTTCCAAGTTTTTCAATTTTCGAATGTGTTGTGCTGAAACCAATTAAAAGGATATTCAAAAAATAGATTCATTTTGATTAATTTTAAGTCCATACCCTGTCCATTCCTTATGTGAAATACTTTCAACTCTTTACAATCTGTATTAATGCATTCGGTTATATGATTACAACGATATTCATTTACATATTCAATTTTTCTTAGGCTTTTAATGCCTATAAATGCCTTGAACTCCTTCAAATGCTCAGTTGGAATCTCCGTACTGGTAGATTTCAAGTTGGTGCAGTACTTTGATATTAGCTCCACAATATGCTTCTCGAATGTCTTTTCAGTCGTATTCATGTGGACAACACTAGCTCCGCAAAGCGGCAGAAAAACTCTCAATATATCATTAGTAAAAACATTGCAGTCCAAATGCGTATAAGCCACTTTGCCATGGTAGAGAAATGCGTGGCCAAGCTCTTTGCTGACTTGAGCCAGTTGAAGTTTATCTTTTAAACTCAAACATCCATAAATCTTATCTAGAATCTCAATCGGTAATTTGGAAATCATTTTAATGGCGACACTTAAACCGGAAACGGAAACAGCACAAATGTATGTACATAATTATCAGAGATGGTAATATGCAGAGTCCCTCGATATATTGTACAGATTAAATGTGTATATCGTTGTTTACCAAGAGGTACACTAAGCTTACAATTACTGGTAGATTTTTTTAGTTGATTTTCGAGCAGCCAAAGAAGTAACCGAAGGGACTTTGCGGAACAGGCGTTTCTCCAGCACCGTAAAAAATTCTTGCCATTAAGTTGCCATATATTTAGTTTATGCGTGGAACGTAACTAACACAGGCATACGCCAACTGCAGTGGCAGTTTGAAATTTAAACTGAAAATAAAAAACTAAAAAAAAAGAGCGGGCAGCATTATGCCAATAATGCATACGGATGGCAAAATGTCCATTATTGCCAACAGAGCGCAAAAAATAAGTAATCATTTTATTAATTTAAGTAAAATAATTTATTTTTCAAGTAAAGTCATGAATGAAGTTTTTTTTAATCCGACGATATATTTCGACTCCCTTTTACGTTTTTGCGCACATTTCTTCCATTTTTCACTCTCTCTTTTTTTTTTTACATTCAGTTTGACAGGAATTCGCTGCTGGATACCCATCTTATAGACACAATTCTGTGATCATAGAAACCCGCATTCCTCAGCTTCACATAGTTTTAAGGCAACTCTCGCTTGCCTCTGCCTCCTACTTGAATGCATTATCCAGTAGCTGCTGCTGCTGTTGAGAGGATTTATATTTTTTGCTTTCGGCCCTGAGTAAATTGCTCGTAATGATGGTGCATATTGCAACATTAGCAAATTATTAAGCAAATTAACTTAATAAGTTTATTTTAAAGAGCGAAATTCCCTCCGTATTACTAACCTATATATGTCCATATCAATTCTGGCACCAAACATTTTCAGGGATTGGAATTGGAGTGTTTTCCCCGGTTTTGACATGGGTTTTTGCATTTGCTAATTGCTACTTTTTGTTTCGAGTCTCGAGTGTTTTTCTGCTGTCAATTTAAATGCTTTCAATTCTGTATTTGACACATTTGGCAAGCAGATGGAAAGGCCAAGCCAATTTGTACTTTCGACGCCTGAGTGTATTTTGGCTCTTGACAAACAATATCTAAAATGACGACAAAATGATGCTGCGACTGAAACTCTTCAAGTGTTGTTCATTGTAATTCTCATTTTACACTAATTGCACGAAGAGGTTAATGATAATGTATCTTTTGTTGGAGTGGTTTATTTAAGACATTTCCAAAAGATAAAACTAAAGCTTGAAACGACAAACAAACAAAATCAAGAAGATAGCTTTTCCATGAGTTGTTATACCCGGTACTCGAAGGCTAAATAGGGTTTATATATTTGTGCACAACACTTTGTGTATGTATGTAACACACAGAAGGAATCCGACCCCATAAAGTATATATATTCTTGATCAGCATCAATAGCCGAGTCGATTGAGCCATGTCTGTCTGTCCGTCCGTCTGTCCGTCCGTCTTGTTGAGCGCCTGGATCTCAGAGACCATAAAAGCTAGAGCAACCAAATTTTGCATCCAGACTTCTGTATGCTCACACTGTTGCAAGTGTATTTAAAAAATGAGTCACGCCCCCTTCCGCACCGGCAGAAGGGCGAATACCTCCCAAATCTACAATTTTAAAGATAAAAGAAAACTAAAAACGCCATTCCGTAGGGGTCCAATGATCCCTAATTGGGATCCGATTGGATCATTATTATAGCCAGAATGAAGAAATTAATTTGCAGTGGCTAAACCCACCCTGTCCCGCAGCTTTTGTTGTTATTTTCACATTCTCTCATTCACACTTCTGCTTCACTCGGCCCCTGCCTCTGCCGACTTTTAACCCACCCCGTCCCGCAGCTTATATTTGTTTTTTTTGTGTGCGGGCACTGTCTCTGCCGCGAGTCTGCAGTGTGTGGGTCTAGGGAAGGGCGGCTAGCTAACGGAGCGTGTTGGTGTGAGAAGTGTTCTAGATGTAGATGACAGATAAAAAAATATTTAAAATTTGACAAAAAACCGCTAAGGTGCAGATGTAGTACTGAGTGCCGGGTATAAAGGTTGTGACGCGTAAGAAGCGTCTCACACGGCCCTTCTCGTTTTTGAGTTGATTTCAACCATGGAAAACCTTTAATTGAATTGAAATTATAGACAGAATGGAATGGACTAAGTCTACGGTTATCAGGTAGTTGTACCGATGACTGCTCAAGTCCCTCGTCCCCCCACCTCTGTCTGCTAGTTATTCCCCCACCTTATGGCATTATAGCGCCAGTTAATTGCCATTGAAAACCGAAGAAACCGAAATCCATACGAAGACGTCGCGACATCATGTGTCTGCCAGCCCTTCCCGGCTCCCTCTGTCTGCGGTTAATCGTGGCTTCGTCTTCGTATGTTATGTTAATGGAGGAGACGCGCAGAGTCCCTCTCGGGTGTACTTTACTTAATTTACCAGAACAGATCTCAGGCTGGGCCTCAATTTTGTCTAATTTACTTGCCGTGATTTGCAGCAATTTCGTTGGTCTAAAGTGTCTAAGAAGGTTCTAATGTTATGGCCTCTCAAATCATTCTCTCTCCTTCTCCTAATGCATTTCGGTTTTCTTTCGTTCCCTCTGTGCACTTGTGCGGTGATAAAGAAAATTGTTTATAATGAGGTTTCTGTGGTCAATGCTCAATTGAGTTTTACCCTAATTGGCGGCGGAGCCACTGGACTTACGCTGCCAGTGCCACTGAATAGGAAAGGAGGAGGAGATCAGAGTTTTGTGGTGGTCAAAGGAAAGGGTTTACATCCTAATGATTTTACCTCCCCCCGGCTAATGCCTAACTAATTGAGTAATTTTTGTGTGACTCTGTCTGGTATCAATCATTTATTTCATCTCCTCTTGATGCTCCGTCTCCGTTTAGTAAGTTTCCGGTTACCGCTTAACCCTTCTCACATCCCTCTCTGGGCCATTGCAAATTTCCCAAAAGACGCCCAAGACTTAACGCTTTATTGTTACAAATTTGCTCTGGCTTGTCCGTGTACTGTTTGCAGCTGGCTAAACTCCTTTGGGGCCTAGATGGTTTCTTTCACGTCTTGGCCAATCAATCATTTGCTTGACTTATACCCTGGGACTCCATCGGGGCAAACGGTAAATAAATGTGACTATAAATCGAAAAATTATAAACGCCCAAGCATTGACCATTTGACCATCATTTGGTTGAGCCACCCCCCGATAGAAAAATGTTTGTGAGGGGAAAAAAAAAGAAAGTCACAACGAGGTTGGAATACACTTTATGGAAACTTCCGAAATTTCTTGGAAATAAATACAAGAGAACAACTGCATGGAAAAGATAGATATAAAATATGAAATATAATTTTAGACATATATTTGTATTAGTTTTATTATTTTTCCATTATTGAAAACGTTTGAAAATCACTTCACATATTCGTTCTAACCCAAAAACAGAACCCCACAATCTTCACTTCACTCGACCTGACTTGACCAACTGCTTAAGCCCTTAACAAATCCCCGAATTCCCTCAAGATTTTACTAACCAATTCAATTGATAGAGAGCCTGAGATAAACTCTTTCTTTATTTTTTGTTGTTGTTGCGAAAAACTATTGGGAAATTTATGCATTTATTTTGACAAGCGGCATGATTTATTGACCGTGAGTAATTTGTACTGGACCTGACGGGAGGACGCTGTAGACTCCAGAATGGACAGCAACAGAAAAAGGAACCACCCCACAGTCCTCTTCTTATCAAGAAGCTCTTGCCGTGCGTTTATTTTTTTTAAATGTGTATTTGCATTGACGCATTTGTAACCGCAACGAATTTGTTTGTAATAAAAATGTAAATGTAAATGTCCATTGGATGCCACTTCAAGACGGGTTTTCTTGGCATTGTTTTTTCTGTGGCCACCACACAACCGAACCGCAAGTCGACCCAAAGAAAAGAATCGACCAAAAAACGAGTTGGACAGAGAAATGAAATATTACCGCAAGCTGACACTCGAGGATGGCCAAGGGATTTGGTTGTGGCTGTCTGATGGAATGAGGTTTGAAGACTGGACATCGGGTAAAGGGGTAGCCAAACGGGAGTGCGTAAACCTACTGGTCAAAGGGGATTGCGCACTTGGCCGAGTGGTTTGGCAGGTTGTTGAAGAGGTCCCGGTCCCGGTCCCTTGACCCACTTGCATATGACATAAAGGGCCCAGTTCCTTTGTCAGTAAATAAAAGTGTTGTTCATATATCATCCATTGATTGGATTTATGGATTTAAAATGTAAATTCCATAGATTCGAATTGATAAAAGATTGGCATCACCATAGCCATTTAGCTAATTTAATGTCCTTGAACCGTTGTTTAAAAACAAATTGTATTTACAGAAATGATGCCCATAATGGACATTTTATTTATTATATCTATTATTTATTTTATTTAATAATTATTTAAATGTTGTATTTATTTTATTGAATATTTATGTAATTTAATGTAATTTGTTATGTAATATTAATTTAATATTTATTATTTATTTTAACGAATTTTTTTTTTATTTATGATCTTTTTCATTTAATATGATAATATAATATAATGATTAAAAAATTAATACAAATATGCAATGTAGTGTAAGAAATATTAATTTAATATTTATTATTTATTTTATTTGATTTATTTTAACGATTTTTTCTTTTATTTATTATTCTTTTCATTTTATATTCATTTAATTTAATGTACATATTTATTAGCCGTTTTTTTTTTGTTAGTAATTATTCGACGCTGATATTGTTTTGATGACGGGATAACTTATACCAGACTGTGGAGTGTAGGATTTAATTAAAAATCACTGAAAATAGATAGATAAAATATATTTACAAATCAAATGTTTAATATAATATTTTAATTTCTAAACAACAATACAGATATTTATTGGATCTATGGAACATATTGGTATGTTACTAGCTAAGCTCTTTAGCAAACTGTTGGATCAGCCCTAAAGCAACTTGGCTCACAAGGTTATTCCTCTTAGACT